TGTTAAGACCCCCCATACTCGTGACACTTGTGCCAGGGACTGCTGAGAGCCCCTGTGCTCGTGACATGTGTGTGGAGGCTGCTGAGAACCCTCACACTCATGACAGGGGAGAGGGGGCACGGCCGCTGAGAACCCCGCAACTCATGGCATGACATGTGGGTACAGGGCTGCTGAGAACCCTCACACTCGTGACACTTGTGTAGAGCTGCTGAGACCACCCCCCCTCATGGTCATCAAACGTGGGCACAGAGCTGCTGAGGACCCCCCCACTCATGACAGGGTCACTGGGATGCCTCATGCTCGTGACACGTGGGTGCACAGTTGCTGAGACCCTCCCCAACTCGTGACATGGGGATTCACAGCTGCTGAGACCCCCCCCAACTTGTGACACGGGGATTCACAGCTGCTGAGACCCCTCCCAGCTCGTGACACACGGGGGCACAGCTGCTGAGACTTGGCACACCTGGGTACCGGGCTGCTGAGACCCCACACGCTTGTGACACGTGTGTGTAGAGCTACTGAGACCCTCCACACTCGTGACATGTGGGTGCACCGCTGCTGAGCCCCCCCTCAACTCGTGACACGTGGATTCACAGCTGCTGAGACCCCCCCCAAGTCATGACACGTGTGCGTAGAGCTACTGAGACCCTCCACACTCGTGACACGTGGGTTCAGGGCTGCTGAGACCCCCTACACCCATGACATGAGTGTCCCCAAGTCCCCCTGACCCCCCACCTGACACAGCCTGTGTTGGGACACCCCCCTGTGTAGGACAGCAGAGGGGGGTGACACTGGGGGGACGCATGGGGGGGGTGTCACCCCCGTCCCGGGGCAGCCACGGGGCTCACACGCCGATTTCCCACAGATATATTATTATAATTATTAATATTAATAATAATCTTTGTCTGTAAAAGATCTAAAAAGGCATAGAAATAAAAAATACGGTGGTGGGGGGGACACGCACGCGCACTCTGAGCGGCTCCTGGCCAGCGGCACGCGGGGGAGGCCACGACCCCCTGCCAGCGAGGGTCCCCACCTCCTTCCCGCCCCCCCCCTCCACCCCCGCCTGGGAAGGGGGGATACATCATCCCAAAAACTGGGGGGCGCTGGATTACCCACGGGGAGGATTGAAGGCCCGGATGGCGGGCGGAGCGGGGGTCTGCACACCCCGTCGGGCCAGGGTCCCCCTCGCCTGGACCCCCCCTTGGTCCAAGGGGTGCCCCCTCTCTGTGCCGGGGGCGCGGGGCCCCCTGGGGGGGTTTATCCCATTCTAGGCCCGGCCCTTGGAGGGGTTTATCCCACTCTAGGCCCAGCTCCCAGAGGGATTTATCCCAGCCTAGGTCTGGCTCCCAGAAGCATTAATCCCAGCCTGGATCCGGCCCCTGGGAGGGGTTTATCCCAGCCTAGGCCTGGTTCCTGGAGGGGTTAATCCCAGCCTAGGCCCGGCCCTCGGAGGGGTTGTATTCCGTCTCTCCAGCCGACACCTGGGAGATGCGCCGCGTGGAACGCCACAGCCGCCGGTGGAACTGGCCCGGACGCACCTGGGGATGGGGTGGTGAGAGCCACCCTGTGCTCTGACCCCTTTCCCATCCCTAAATCCTTCATCCATCCTCATCTTCATCCCCTTCTTCATCCCCACCCCCTTCCAGATCATCGTCCAATTCTCCATCCCCATCCTCTTCCAGGTGCTCATCCCCCTCACCTCCCAAATGTCCCTCTGCTTCTCCAACCCCATCCTCATCAACTCCTCCATCCCCATCCTGTTCCGAACACCCACCACTTCCCCAGCACATCCCCTTCCAAACCCAGCCTTTGTTCCGCTCACACTCACCCCCTTCCCCTTCCAGAACCCCATCCCTTCTCCTGTCACTGCCCCCTTCCCCTTCCCCACCTGCATCCTTTTCCCAACCCCCTCATCGCCATCCACCCATCACCCCTTCCTTGTTCTCCATCTCCATCCCCTTCCTTATTCTTTATCTCCATCCCCTTCCCTATCTCCACTTTCCCCTCCATCTCTACCTCTTTTCCCTTCCCTATCTCCATCTCCACCTCCATGTCTACCTCCATCTCCACCTTCAACTCCGTCATCATCCCTTTCCCTGTCTCCATCTCCACCTTCACCTCCATCCCCTTTCCCATCTCCACCTCCATCCCCATCTCCATGTCCACGTCCATCCCCTTCCCCATCTCCACCTTCATCTCCATCCCAGCTCCATCTCCATCTTCACCCCCATTCCCACC